TCGCGAACAACCATCAATAGTCAAGCACTGGCAAACTGCATTCCATGCTCGTAATCGGCATATTGACATTGATCCCCACTTTATTCATAAGCTTGTTGCCCGCGGTGCTCTTCATCTTCGGCATGTTCCAACAGCCTCTCAGGTTGCTGATCGCTTCACTAAGAGGGTCTTTCTCGTGAGTATTTTCAGTCACTCTATTTCCAATTGCAGTTTCGTGATCTCCCGCTTCAAATACGAGGGAGTATTAGATAATATTTTATATAGGGTATTTTCATACTTTCCCTTTTGTGATTAGTTTTGTATATAGGTTTACGATTATTATATTTAACTATTTAAACCTATCTTCTTAGTGTAATTGTTCATGAAAACTCAATATACAAGCTATGCATCTGTAGAATTTTCACTTCATAGCTCCATATATATAAGTGGCTTTATTATAAATTCATGTCTATACATACATACATACATACATACATACATATGAAATAATAGCAGGTTCCCGCTACTTTTCTTGTGCATTTTAAGAAGTAAATATTTGTTTCCCTACCCTGCTTCATGCGGTTCGAATGAATGCAATATGTTTGGACTTATTTGCAAGACTAAAAGCTAATTATATAAGTTGTCTTGTGTGATTTGCATATGCTGACGAATGATATTCTCTTTATAGACAACGATTGACATGTCATGTTGTTTGAATTCTTTCCAAAATGATTGAATCAAAGCTCTATCACTCCTCTTGTCATTTAAAATAAGTGTTTCAAGAATAATTTAAGTGCTGGAGTTTGAAGTTGAGTCATCAGTATCCTGAGTAAACTTCATTCCTGGGACTAAAAGAGTGTGAATTAATTAGTTATAGCACCAAATTAATTAGCTTCTGAATAATCACATTGAAGAATCTGAAGGCCAAATTTAATTACTATTTAAGAATTAATCATGTGTAATTCTATTTTTTCCTATATTTCCAACTTGCAAGATTTTTAATTAATTTTTCTGAAAAACAACTTTCAAACACCACCACAAAGTTAGTGAAAGATCAGGACAAAGAAGTCATTAGTTTTATATTTTCCCTAGTTTTTAATTCCAAAAAATAATAATAATAATATTAGATGTGTATCGAATGTATAGTTAGATATTGAAAATCTTGAGAGAAAACTAATTTTCCATGGTTTTCTTTCTTTTGACTAATATGTTCATGTTTAACATAGATCTCTCCAATCAAGTTGGGGGAAAATAATTTTGTTCTTATTAAGCATTTTTAATTAAATAATTTTTTTCTGTAATTGTGTACTTTGAAATGATCTAGAGAGCATTTGGAATTAAAAGTAAGTCAATCATACAAAAATAACAAAATAGTAAAGAGAAAGAATGCATGTGATTTATCCTGATTCACTCAGAACCGAGCTACATCATTGCAAATTTCTTCTCACCTCTCTCGTTACAATGAATGTATTTGCTACGAATTGCTATTACAATTATACAAGAGAATAACGTGTTATATACTAGGATGATTATGAGAAACCATAAACTACTATGATTATTATTCCTAAGCCAAATCCTATTAGGAGTTCTATTTCTTAGAGAATCCTACCGTAGGTATTCATGGTACAAGCCTAAACCGCTTAAGGGTCCCATGTGTGTCACCCCTTATAGAGGAACTCCTTATTATTGAGTCAATTCCAACCTACCTTAGGAATTGAGCTAAAAGAATTCCTCTACATAATCAATTACTTTCTGAAACAATTTGTTTTTCCATTAAGTTAGAAGAAAAAACTAAGGGAGAAGATGATAGAGGAAGAGGAAGGGAATTGAGAGAGAAAAAGATTCTTAGATGATGGCAAGTATTGTGAACCTTATTAACCTATGGTCATAAATAATTTATTACCGTTGATAAACACAAAATTAAACTCAAACCTTTTTTTTTTTTTTTTTTTTTTGCATGGACTACTATAAAAAATATATTTCTTTTAGTGATTATTTGTTTTACATACTATATATATACACACACACTGATAATTTTTTTTACAGTATCCGATGTAAAAGAATAAAGTTTAACCCCCAATTTGTTTAACTTTTCAAACTCTATACTATTCTACTATCATATCCTAAACAGTAAAAAATGTGTTTATTTTAATATTGACTATTCAATTCAAAATCCAATCTTATTATATTCAACTCAAAACATTTAACAATTACCTTTCACAATAAAAGTTTATAAATTAACAAAAACACTCCCACCTACCCAAGCCATAGTCGCCCGTCAGCAACCACCATCGACCATCGCTACCATCGTCGGCCATCGACGTCGGAACAATGTACGATTCGTCAAATCTGACTGATCGTGCACTGATCTAGCTGTCAACAGCCAGATCCGACCATTAACAATGACCATATCTTGGTCGTCATCGATTGTCAGATTCTGGTTGTAGATCTTGTCGCTTCGGGCCAGATACACGATGGATCTAGCCGAAAAAGACCAGATACCGACCAGATCTGGCCGATCATGCTCCATTCCGACGACTGTCGACCACCGTCTGGCGATAGTGGCCTATTGCTGATAGTCAGTTCAGTGGGTGGGGGTGTTTTTGTTAATATATAAATTTTTATTGTAGGTGTTGTTTAGCTAAATTAACAAATGTAGGGGTTAAAAATAATCTAAATATTTTCAAAAAATGTTTTCGAAAAATATCCGGACACATTTTCAAAATCCTATCCTATTTGATTTAATCATATCCTATCATATTCAGAATAAAATATTAATTCAAATAATATACTAAACAGAGTCCTAAAGTTTTTATCTTTAGTTTTTCCAGGCAATAGAACTATCGCCAGTTACTAAAGTTTCCATTAATTATTTTATCTGAACTTTGGGTGGCAATATTATTTCCTTAATTCCTTTATAATTTTTTATGTGCCAATTCTTTTATAATTTTTCTATTGTTCCTTAATTCTTTTATAATTTTTTATGTGCATTCTCTTTATATGTCATGTTGTTGAATTCTTTATAAAATGTTCGAATCAATGCTGTATCACCATCAGATACCCTCTTGTCATTAAAATAAGTGTTTAAACTAGTATTTAAAATCTATATTATTGCTCAGGGCGGCAATTTATAGTTTCTTGCTATATCTACTCTAATTTTTCATCGTATTCTAGAATATTCTTCAATTCAAACAAAAGAACACAAGTTGTACCTAAGAAAAAATTAAAAAATAAAATGACAGCTAATGGTACAAAATGTTAGACCTAACCATGTTCAGAGGCATCTTTGTCTTTCATGAGTAATACTATATTTATAATTTATTCTTATAAATTTTTTTTATAATTTTGATGTGAAAATTTATAATTGGGTTTCGTCTATTTAACAATAGATCTTATTTGTTTAATTGTGAATTATCATGTTAAAATAGTAAAAAAAAATTATAAAATTAAACTGAAAATCAATTTTTATTTTTTTATTCTTCTAGCGACCGATTCTCAATTAACTCCTGAACAAGGAATTTCAAGAGTGATCAATAATTGAGTAGTTCGGTTGTGTCCTTTCAGATGAACGCAGAAATTGTAAATACTCTGCTACAATCCAAAATATTTTATTTATTTGGAGGGATAAAATTTTATTAATTAAAGACGCGAATAACAAGGTAGCATGCGTAGCTTGCGTTTGTTTTAGTAATTTGTCTTATTACTGTCTTATGCTTTGTCTTTTGTCCATGAACAGATAACATATACAGCGTGTATTATGCTTGCAGATTTGTCCAGTACTGGCTGATTGCCTGACAATACTGAAATATCAGAAAACTCCAATTACTTTAGGTAAAGTCATTAGTCCCCATATTGTTTGTTTTTTACGTTAAGATACATAATCGTGTTTGATCACTGTGATTACATATTTACCTACAGATTTATTGAAAACATGACCATTTTACCCTTATAAAATTTCCAACTATAAAAATGGTACTCAAATGACTCAAGCACTTGAACCCATAATTAGGATTCCCCTGAAAAATAAAGGATCAACTTAAATGTTCATTTTGACCTTTACTCCATCCATTTTAGTGTTAACAAAAAAAAAAAAATTGAATTTTGATATCGAGTCTGGGTGTTATTCCGGGTTAATACTCTTAGCCCTCTGAGGTTTGCCCCATTCTTCTGAACCCTGAGTATCGAAAATAGCCATAAACCTTGAGTGTGGCGCACAGGTGAGGCTGAGGGTACGATGGGGAAGGAAGAAGACAAGAGGGAGATGAGGGCGTTGTTGATTGGATGGCTTGAGGGTTGGGTTTGCGAATCTATTTTTTATTTTTTTGTTTTGTTTTCTAAACAAAATTGTAATGGGTAACCAGAAAATATTAAATAATATTTAGTATTAAATGAAAAAGTTAATGAGAAGGGTAATATTGGTATTTGCAACCTCTTCCTATGTCAGATGTCAGGATTCATAACTTTATGGTAATGGTCGGGGGTTTATGGTCATTGCTGATACCCCAGCGGGTTTAGTTAATACCATAAATATAACAGTAGTGTTAGTCTTACAAAGAAGCTTATAAAAGAGTCATACAAAGTTAACATCTACCCTTTATCTTTATCATTTCTCTCTTTCTCTTTTTTTTTTTTTTTTTTTTTTTTTTTTTTTTTTTTTTTTTTTTTTTTTTCGTTTTTCCTTTGTTTTTTTCTTTCTTTGTAAGCTTATTTGTAGAGTTATTTGTAAAGATAAACTTATTCTAAATGTAACGGGGTTACAATAGTTATCCGTTTTACTCACCCTATATGGTGGTTGTTTTCTTATCTTGAACCTGACGTGATAACTTGGCTTTTCCCATGCCTTCTTCGGGTTTGGGTCTTTTCCCATGGCTGTTATAAACTTATAATCAAAAGACAATTTCGACAGCTGGACAAAATTGCCTAATCCTTTTTAAATTCATTTTCGATGGATCCTTTTGGGACTGTAACTAACGAAGAAGCATTATATATAGACTTAGTGCTGAAAGTTTTTCGCACACTGGAGTACACTGTAGTCAAATATCAGTCTTACGAAAACGCCATTCAGATATTTCCTCCTGCGACCTTTTACTTGAGGTACCCCTCATCAGTTTTTCGGAATCATTAGTATTGTATATGTGTGAGTAATTTCTTGTAACAATTGTCTTCATAGATAATACTAAGTTATAGCACTGACTTCCAACTTTAAAGGAACGTCTGTATTTCATATTATTATGTTCCAATATTATTTAAGTCCCATGGTGAATCCAATGGTGTGTATATATATAAGGAACTATATCCTTGATAAGAGGAAAGAAAACTTTCGAAAGAAGTTGAAAACTTACCATTATCTTTTCTAAAGCTTTCGATTACGTTGTGCTTCATGTACCATTTAGTACATTAAAATGCAGGGGAAAAAATTTTAGAATTTAACGGACGCTTCAACTAAACGATGAATATATATGTATTATGTGTATTTATTTATTCAGGAGACATGGAGCAAGGAAGTTCAGTTCCAGAAGCAGTGGAACTTGCAATAGATATTCCTCTACCGCAGAAAGATAAGAGCCAAAGTACTGAAGCTGGCTTATCATCTGTGGATGAAGATACGAAACTTATCGAGTGGTTACCTTCCCTTGTTTTGCTTATCGGTCAGCTCTCTCTCATAAAAGAAACATATTTTAATTTTATCTTTTGGGATTTCGTACTGACAAGAAAGTTATAAAAAATTGATTCTATATTATGAGCTTTATTTTTAGTATGAGATGTCTTCGATCTGTCAGTGTTACTGTACGATTTGTCATTTTTTTTTCTTCAATATATTGTTCATGCATTATGAGTTTTATTTTTCGTTTTATATTTGATTTTGAAGATCGGAACAGAGACAAGGATAAATTACGTTTGGATCTTTTTAACGCTGCACTGGATGGAAATATTGATGCGGTTAAAAGTCAGTTCAATAATCCTATGTTCAGTAGCTCTTCATCAAGCCCATTAAGTGCTGCTTCATCACCAAGCCCATTCAATGTTGCAATAACAGAGAAACAAGAAACTATTTTCCATGTAGCAGCAGGAGCAAATCAAACTGACTTTGTAGAGACGATGATTGAAAAGGTAGCACCAGATGACCTCAAGTTGCGAAACGTAAAAGGGAACACTGCCTTCTGTTTTGCTGTTATGGCTGGGAATAAATCAATTGCTGAGAAAATGTTGGAAAAGAACCCAGACCTGTTGACAATCCGAGGTTGCTGTAATTTGACTCCACTAAATCTAGCTGCTATGTTTGGAAAAAGGGAAATGGCGTTATATTTATACCGGCAGTATTATAGAGGAACACTGAAATTAGCCAACAAAAAACAATTATTTTTTGATAGCATCGATACTACTTTGTATGGTAAGTATTCACAGCATTTATTTTCTTGCTTGATTTTAATCTTAAATTTTTTATTCTATATCTATTATATAGCATGCATAACATGATAAATTCATCATAAATTAATATCTGATTGAATAAAATTAAGTAAATGCACAAAGTACATATCTGTTTGTATCAAAGCAATTTTTATTCTTTTTTTTTTTTTTTTTTTCCTCTTTTTTTCACATCTACTTCTGAATTCATTTATCATTTTGAAGATATTCTATCTTTTAGATAATGTAATTCATAATAGTCCTTTAATATACTTGTAATATATACTACCCTTGCTTTCTAAATTGTGGGCTACTTGTGCTAAAAATATTTGGATGAATTTCTTAGATCTTGCAAGGGAATTGCTAGAAGATGAAAGTGATGATGAAAATGAATTGGCTATTACTGACTACGAGTATGGCAACGATCTTTTGACACCCTTGCATCGGTTGGCTTTAACGCCCTTTCATCTATTGGACCAAAATAACAAATGTAAAGAGTCTGTCAAATGTCTTTGGGAGAAAATATTAGAGATAACAGGCAAAAAGAGCGAAAGTGACAAAACAAGTTTATTAAATCAAGCTCTAGCGTTGGTCGAATGCCTTTGGGAGAAAATATTTAAGGCAAAGCGTGACCAAGTTTGGGATTACTTAAATGAGCATCGTGATTTATTGTTCAAAGCAGCTCAATTGGGGAACTTCAAATTCCTAGGTAAACTTATCGAGCTTTATCCTGATTTGGTTCATCTTAAAGATGATGACGAACGGACCATATTTCACATTGCGATTATGTATCGTCATGATGATTTGTTTAAGTTGATAAATCAGATAGGTTTCAACAAACAGTTGGTAGCATCCTATGCAGACATTTATGAAAATAGTTTATTGCATCTAGCTGCAAAATATCCAGATCCAAGGCCATTGAGTACAGTGCCCGGTGCAGCTCTAGAAATGCAGCGAGAGCTACGCATTTATAAGGTAAATATTTTTAGAGCTTCTTTAGTGTCTTATTATTTAATTATCATTATTTTAAACCTTTACTTGGAGAAAATACAAATTACTGATGACACTCTTGATTAAAGTTTCAATTAAAATATATGTCTTATGATTATAATTTGACTTTTTTTTTTAATAAAATTAATACTAAAGGTATATTTGAATTCCAATAGTAATGAATTTATAATTAAAAAATGAAAATACCAACTTCTTTGTGTAAAATTAATGATGTAGGATGTTGAAAAGCTTGTAATGCCTTCATTTAAAGAATCGAAGAATACAGAAGGGAAAACTCCTCGTGAGTTGTTCACTAGTACACATGCAGGCTTACTAAAAGACGGAGAAAAGTGGATGAGGAGCATAGCCAGTCAATGCATGCTTGTTGCAGCAATCATTGCTTTAATGGTTTTTCAGGCTGCTTTTCCTGTACCAGGAGGTAACAGCGATAACGAAGGAAGGAATATTGAGTTCCGTATTTTTGCTATGGCAGACGTGATTGCGTTATCTTCCTCTTCGATTTCAATTCTAATGTTTTTATCTATTATTACATCCCGTTACGTAGAAAATGATTTTTTGTTATCATTACCGCTTAAGTTGGTGGTGGGATTGTTAACGCTATTCATATCTATAGGAACCATGATGCTAGCTTTCATATCAAGCTTTTATACAGCTTATGACCACCCTAGATCAAATGCAATCCTCATTCTTGGTATTATATTTGTATCTCTACCCCTGTTTGCATTTGATTCGTCACAGTATAGTCTTCTGAGAGATATATTGTACTCATTCTGTTTTAGGTTTTTCTCTTAAGTCTATATGATGTTGTATTATGTATTTACAATTCTAAAACTTGTAATTTCATTTGCAAACTGTGCTACCTGACGTGGAGCTATCCCGTTGGTGATGATAAGAATATCTGTTTTATTGAGTGTTTATTTATATTAAAAGGGATAATGTTGTGGTAAAATAGATCTTCTTTTCTATGATTTGAATGATTCTAGCCTCTAATGAAGTGATCGATCAAGAACAAAAGGGAAAGTGATGATTACGGGCATTAGTAAGATAAGTCCCTATAGGAAAGATTATCCCACATTTCCTTTTATCTCAAGCACTGTACTTGTTAAAAACGGGAATGTGTTTATGTATAAAGTTTAATAATCTAGTACTAAATTATTTGTAGGAATTCAATCATATTATGCTTTATTTGTTTACTTAGAAAAATATATATATATATTTTTTTTTTAAAAGGGTGAAGGCTCAATGGGTCGAGTTTGAGTACTACACGTTAAAATAATGTTTGAGTTTGAGTTTTCATACTTAGACTCAATATGCTAACAGGTTGAATTTAGCTTTATTTGACATTACACGAATACAACACAATACGAAACCATTTCAAAACACTAAAATTAACACAACAAAAAATTAATATTACAACCTCAAGCCCTAAGTAAGCAAAGCAAAAACAAGAAAAACACAATTATTACGATCTCACAAAGCCTACAAATATGTCGTACAAGACATAACACTGTCAGATTTCTTTAAACTAACAAATAAATTATAATAAACAAGGCTGATTATGAATATTCTAGTTGTTGTAAAGAATATTCTATTACTCACAAATCTATAACCAAGTCAGATTACTGACAACTTTCTTTGGAAGGAATTGAATGCTTCTTGACATGGTTAGCATCTCCAATAAGCATCTGCAAACAAGGCTCTTCAAGCAGCTAACCTGTAACAATCAAGTTGACCAGTCATTCCTCAAATTTAAAGTAAATTTTAAGCCAAATCAGGCAAATTGAATCTATCCCACAACAAAAATGTCATCGCTAATACAGAAATTCCATTCCAAAAAACAACATAACCAATGATTCCAATCAATCTTATGGCTGTGACAATGTTAGTTCAATAATATCAACGAGTATTCTGGGTTTGAGGGGCAGAGGGGTGGTATGATACTTGAAGCTTCGTATCTAACAATTACATATAAAAGATGATGAAAAGGCTTCCTTTTAGTAAGAATTAGTAGCTTCAAAATATCCAGACATCAATTAGTAAACACGTCAAAGTGACCAAAATGTTACTAGAATTCAAAAAAGAAAATGAAAAGAGACACAGCTCAACATATTGAAGCCACAAAAACTTCAGAATCTACAACAAGAGGTACAAAAAAATAAATCAGATATATATAACACTTGAATCTCAAGCTTCAGATCCTAAATAAGAGTTTTTTACAACTTAACACAACCAAAATGAACCATATCCAAGAAGATTCTGATACATTTTTTGCAGCTTAAAGCTCAAATTCTGAAAAATTTGGTAGCATGAATGAAGGAATTATGCAGCACAAGATACAAGCTGGAACAGAGCAAAGTGAATCTATACAAACTAAAAAGACAAATAAAAACCATGTAAGAACCTGAGTATTGAAATAAAATTTAAATTTACGCATAAAAGAGTTTTTATATTCTTTTCTATGTTGTTTAAAGTCCTCAATTTACAGAATTAATCAGCATTCTATTTATTCGAGTATTGAAAAGAAATCTCACCCTTAGAGAAGAGCCAAGTTGGTGGAGGCCAGAAAATTTCGGAATATCCAGGTAAAGCTGAGAGTTTATCAGTACACCGATTTTCCAGGTTAAAAATCAGAGCATTACTTCCAGGGTAATCACAATCAACATTTGGATGACCTCTATCAGGTAAATAAACACGATTCCGTTTACATCCGGAGAACTCTTGAGCTGAAAGAAAAAAGTTACATTCCTTCAACATGAACAAGGCTCTATCATGGAATCCATGCTTCACCGCAGTCCACCCATCCTTCTCCTCATCAAGCTTAAAAATATTCTGTTAATGCGTGAATTTTGACACCAACGAAAAGCACATGTGAGATGCTGAGTTGGCCCAGAAGACACATGTGAATGTAAAGGAAAATGGTAGTAAATACAATAAAGGGAGCTTTTAAAGTGGTTCGGATGCTAAGGTAGCAAATCCTACGTCCACTGATGTTTGTATTAATGATAGGGGTCAGGTCGCATTAACAGACTGACTTACAAATGATAATACAAGAGAGAGAGAGAGAGAGAGAGAGAGAGATTTTTTAGAGAGTCAAAATGCAGGAATCCCCTAAATGAGAGAGGAACCCTCAATTTATAGTGGGATGGATTAAGAATTTATAGTGGGATGGATTAAGGTTATGAATGCTGAATCTGTGAGTTGGTGAGATTATCCGTGTAAATCCTTCTTTATGTCACATTGCCCAACTTCCAGAGTGATTTGCGCGATTTAGAGCAGGGATTGGGCACGTGGAATCATCACAGCTTTTGGTAGGACTGACGCACACCCACTATCTTGGTAGAAGCATGCCGTCTCTGTCATTGTCTGACGTGGCCATCTCATGACTGCCCGCAGGGGTCCCCATGGTCTGACACTTGCAGGCTGACTGGACCTTACGTCAGCCCTTCATATTTTCTTGGCATAACATATTCAAACCAAGCCGGCAACTTCTGTCGCCGGATTTACCCCAAAAGTGACTGTCGTAATTTCCAGGGAAGTCTAAATAGTTCTTCCGGATCAAAAACAAATTCGGAGATGACTTTACCAAGTGGAAGGAGGAGGCTGACCTGCTTAGCGAAATCCGTAATGGAGCCACAGGTTCGGAAACGTTCAAAGACTTCGGATCCACACATAGAGTACGATCTTTGTAGCTCAAAACATAGAATCTTCTTTTATGATAGATTATATCGTAAATGAAATGAAAACGATCATAATCGATATCGATATCAACCCATTTTTTATCTCTTCTTTTCCAAACAATAACTTTCCCCTGAATTAACACCATGATCGTGAATTCATCATCACCATCTTCATCAGTAGAAACAACTACTTTGCCGGTGTAGGTTCGCTCCGATCTGCTGAGCTCCCTTTGTTGGTCTTTAGCTAATTCAAGTCTGTACCCTTTACTTATTTCCTTAACGCGATGATCCGATATGTTAAGAGACTCGGGTAACTTACCGGAAATGTTCTTAACTTGCGATGTGGAGAAGGGATCCAAGAGCTTGACGGTTCCTGAAGGTGACTCTTCAACTTTGACTAACCATGTTCTTGGGCTGTGATGAGGATCGGAGATTTTTGATACGGGTTCGATCGCGTAAACGGTGGACTCGGCGATGACAAAGTGTAGGGGAGAGTTGGAGGTGGGAGACTTGTGGTAATAGTGAATATCTGAGTATAGTTTTGGCGGAGGAGGGGGGAGGGAGGCTCGAAATGAGTTGCAGACGGCGCGGAAGCGAAGGATGTCGATTCGAGTGGGGAGGCGTTCTGCAATTGTGGCAAGGAGGTGTTCTGGAAGACTGGACCAGTCACGGAAACTGTTGTCCATGGCAGCTGGGAATTGAAGGAGGAAGAAAGGATAAGGAAGAAGAAAAGAAAGTCGACGGAAAGGGTATGAAAGAAGGGATAAGGAATACGAAAGGAGACAGTCTAAGAAAAGGACACGAAGAAGAAAGGAAAAAGTATAACGAAAATGCGCTGCCCAAATTTGAACAAACTCCATTTTATTAAACAAGCTCAATAGTGTGGAAATGGGCGACACTCAAAGACCTTCCCTGAAGTTTGGGGAATTAAAATTAAACCCAAACTTATTCTAAAATTCCCCCACCTCCCCTCACATTTCATTAATGTATTAAATGCCTCCTTCAATTGTCATCGAGTAAAGTTTGAAAGAACGGTTTAAGGGATAAGAGCGTAGTTTTGTTCGTTTGGCGATGGTGCATGTTTAGAGTGGGGTGATTGTATGGAAAACTAAATGACAACGAGGACATGATGATTGACAACCTTGAAACTAACACAATTCGATCTCATAAGACTATATTTGATTACAATCTATCAATGGTCATGAATCAAATTTGGTCATCAGAGGTCAAAACGTCTAACCAAGATATGACCACTAGAAGCTAAGACGAATGATCGTCCTTTAAATTACATATTGAAAGTTAATTAAATAATTTTATTTATTGGATTAGAGTTGACCGTCAGAGAATTAACATCTTCTAAGAAAAGTATTTGACACAAAAATAAAATACGAGAAAAACCGGCTAGGTTTTCTATGTTTGGATTCAATCATCATATCCTCCTACCTGATAGTTGGTCCTTAGGCATTGTCCTTTTGAAAATGATGTGAACAACTTCTTAGGGTTTCTTTTACTAATTTTACAAGCAGTTTAATGTTTCTAAAAAAAAAAAAAAAAAAAAAATTTAAATAATGCAATTCCTAAACAATCCCTCGTCTTTTAATAATAATAAAACTCATGACAATTATGCAAATATGAAGAATAAGCTACAGTAACTACCCCTAAATACTAAAATTTAAACTCAACCATGGTATTACGGTCTTTTCCACAAGTCAGTAGAAATAAATTAATTTATGTCTTTCTTCACACATCTCTCGCTCTCGCTGACCCCCCTTCGCTTTCAGGGGAATTTTCTCAGAAAAAATTATAAATAAAAGTAATTGTCATTGCAACTCCAATTGCATCACTGATTACATAATCCACTTCATATCCATTGCATCTCTCAGATCTCCTATCAAAAAGCCCACTGCCCAGCGCCCATTTATCTTTCAAAAGCTCAACAATTACTTACTCGTTCCGAACACTCACTCCCCCCAAAGCCCAACATTACCCTTTGCACCTCTTCTCTATTCTTCTCAATTTCTTTCCATTTTCTCTCCATCTTTGTTCATCACCTTTGCAAAATTAACCAAAGTAGAGACGATATTGTAATTTTTATAGAAATTTCAACTTCCAAGTTAAAAGAGATTTAATAACATACTAAGAAACAAAAATACTATCTCTTTTCAGAAACTTTTCTTTCACAACCCCAATGTCGCAGTTCACAATTGGTTAGCTTGTAATGAGACCTACTTATAAATTGTGGTTGACCAATTATGAGTTGTCACGTTAAAATTGTGAGAAGAAGTTATAGGTGTAACATTACTCTACTAAGGAATCAGGATTCTCTTTTGACTATGACAAGAAAGCTCGTTAGATGGCTCCCAACACACAAGTTTTGAAAGGGAATTGGGTTAAAATTTTTGAACCAAGACGTGGCAGCTAATGGCAATGTTAAGGAGTTCAGAGATATCGATAGGGGCCTCAGGAAGAGTTATCTTTTTTGTAAAATGCGTAAACTGACCTAGACACCTTAGTCAAAGAAAAAAAAAATCTCTCTTGAACTAAGCTTTAGCTTACCTTATTATCATCATTTGACATTGACTTTTTATATTAAAGGTTTTTACTACTTCTGTTAAAGCAATTTTTGTATTTTCTAAGAAATTGCAAATTTTTTTAGCCATTTTTATATTATCGTCGAAGGTATAGATAGAAGATAATGGGTCGGGATGTATACGAGCCCAGTATCTCGGTACTCAAGCATGGTTCATGATGAACAGTGACGATCTCGAGTTTGAGCCGAACTTGGTCGAGCTTGAATATTAGTGCTTGAGCTGAAGCTCATGAGTATTAAGGTGCACTCGAGCTCGCTTAAACGACTCGAGCCTGCTTGAGCTCGATGGCCGCTCGTGAACTAGAAAGAAGCTGCAACTCTAAAGGCAAAACTCGCCCATAATTCAACACAATCTTTCATTTCCAACACCAACAATCTTCCAAAACAATAATGAAATGACAAGTTTAAAGTTCTTGAATGAAATATTGATGAACTAAATCCTTGCAAGTATACGAATCACAACTGTAATATAGTGTGCACATGCAAGGGTCGATCTCAAAGAGATTTGTAAGCACTCAATTAATCCTAATAAGCTATATTTTAATTAAAACAAATAAATTCAAGCAAATTAAAGAACTAGTGATTAAAACCAAGTGTATTAAAAAAAAAAAAAAAAAGAAATGAAAATTAACTACTACTGATTGAGCCAAAATAACACCAATAAAAACTAATTTAAGAACTAATGAACTACAACATAGGTATCCAATTTTACCATAATAATCTAGTTTTATGCAAACTATCAAACTATTATTATCACAATCCAATTTCTAGGGTTTGCACTCACATAATTAAGGTATTACTATAAGGCGTTCGGGATTAACATAGTATCTTTAACACGAGACTAGTTAGGGCGTATAGTCTGGCCTAATAATTAAAAACCCATTAACCACAAGAGCACTTGAAATCATGAATAAAGGCGTATCTGTCAGGACATATGCACAATTACTAATCATTTAAAAAATCATGAACCAATTAGCATTCTGGAAGGGCGTATGCACAAAATACTCATCATTCATTCACACAAGTTATTCAAGATTAGCTATAGTGTATAGGCTAACCAAGATATGGCCACTAGAGGCTAAGGTGATTGACTGTCCTTTAAATTATATATTAAAAGTTAATTCGATAATTTTATTTATTGGGTTAGAATTGACCCTAAAAAAATAAGCACCTACTGAGAAAAACATTTGACACAAAAATGAAATATGAGAAAAACCACCTAGGTTTTTTATTTTTGGATTCAATTATCGTATCCTCCAACCTAATAGTAGGTCCTAGGCATTGTCCTTCTTAAAATTATGAACACCTTCTTAGGGTTTCTTTTACTAATTGTACAAAAAGTTTAATATTTCTAAAATTATATAAAATTATATATTCTTTAAAAAATTCCTAAACAGTCCCTCAGCTTTTACTCGTAATCAAACTCATGACAATTATGCAAATATGACAAATAAGTTACAGTAACTACCCTAAATACTAAAATTTAAGTTTAACCATGGGTATTATGGTCTTTTCCAACAAGTTTGTAGAAATAAATTAAACTTTTCTCGTCCTGCACACGTCTCTCTTTCTCTCTCTCTCTGAACCCTCTTCGCTTTCAGGAGAATTCTCTTAGGAAAATTTATAAATCAAAGCAATTGTCAATGTCATTGTAATTGCATCACTGATTACATAATCCACCCCTTATCATATACATTGCATCTCTCAAATCTCCCCATCAAAAGGCCCACTGCCCCGTGCCCATTTCTCTTTCAACAGCCCATCAATCTTCTCTGTTTTTCTCAGTTTCTTTCCATTGTCTCTCCATGTTTGTTCATCACCTTCGCAAAATTAACAAAGGTGAAGACCAAATTGTATTTTTTATAGAAAATTTAACTTCCAAGTTAAAGAGATTTAATAACATAATACTAAGGAATCGGGATCTCTCTTGAACTGAGCTTTACCTGACCTTTTTTATCGTCCCTTGACAATGTTAGGATCTTAAAAATTGTAGGAAATCAAGTTGATATACATGCAGAAATCTGCAAAATATGAATGCATAATAAAGGAGAATTAAATGATCAAGCTTAAGTCTTGTTTCCACAACATTAAAATCCATAATGCATATAGTCATATATATGCCCGCTAATAAATTAAACTGGTAAATTGTATGAAATTCTTGAATAAGATGTTAATCAAGTCTTCACATCATGATGAAACACTCTTGAAGCAGTTGACCCCAGAAACTTCTTCAATAAGATGTAGAAGCCTCCACATGATGCAGAAAAGCTCTTCAAGTACCTATCATGTAATAATAAAGTTTGAAAGCAATAATTTGTCAATTTAAGAGAACAAAAAATTATGGTGAACGTAACTCGGCAACGTAGGCGAAAGAGAATGGATCTGTCCATTAGCAAGTAGGTCACAGCAAACTCAGAACAAAATGATGCTTCGTATGTGAATTATTGTTATGTAAACGATGATGAAAAAGCTTCAATTTCGTAAGGATTAATGAAGTAAGAATCCAGCGATCAATCAGTAAACCCATCACGGAAACAAAAATATTACTCGATATTACGAAATGAGAGAAAAATTCCAAATAGATCAATGCCGCCACAAACACAAAAGACTGAACATATTGAAGCCACAGGAACTTGAGAATCTGCCACAAGGCACAAATTAATTAACCAGCTATAAGAAAGTTCCATTAAATCACAAGAACAAGGGGACAAAAAAAAAGGGAAAAAGTTATACTCATGACAGCAAAGGAAAAGATAAAAAGGAAACTTAGTTTGCAGATGAATATTTGATTTCCCAGCTACAAAAATAGAGAAAATATCGAAGATTGAAATAAAAAAACAGAATACCCTAGTACAAAGAATCATGGCTGAGAGAAGAGAGATTACAGAGTTTTGGAAACATTCCCCAGAATTTACTATCTGAAACTGCAGTAAACAGAGAAACTGCCAAAAGCATTCAACTATCCATAACTCTTGAATATCATGCCCGACGATCCAGCAATGAGTAATTTAACTATCTAGCACAACCCAGATGAACCATATCCAAGAAGAGTTTCACACGCATGACAACCAGCTAAAGCTCGAATGAACATCGAAAAATTTACATACTCTTATACCATGTCTTTTTAAA